CGGCTGCCGCGGTTTTGGCTTCCGAGGTTCAACTTTTTTTTGGGACTTGTTGGATCTAATGTTTGTCGAACGTTGTCGAAATCTCCAGAGCTACAAGAACTTTACAGGAGATCAGACATTCCATGCACCATTTGGATGCGAAGAAATGTAGGCCATTGACAAAGACCTAAACTTTAGTTCTTGAACATTGCAAAAACTGAGATAAATGAACCATGGGGAAATCCATTCAGATCGCCCTTCGCTGTCAGGTGCGCTACTCTTTTGGTGGCTGATCTCTGTGTGTTGCTGCTTGTTGGGCCGCTGCATTGGAACAGGCCATGACTTTTCCGAGCGACCTTCCACGGGTTTTGAATTTAAAGACCAATGGTTTCCTGTATTTTTCCCACCAATTCCAGGACTCAAATGTGTCCCTTCTTCCATCCCTACATGGGGATTCCTCAAATGGGGGATCCCAAGTCACCATGGTTAATTTCATGACTCGATGATTTGGGGGTAGCCCTATGAAATCAAGAAACCTCCGCATACCTGGGATATGGATGACATTTTCATGATCCCAGGGAGGACGACAAAAAATGGAAGTTCTGAAAGGGGGAATTTTGCCAAGAGGAAACCTCTTTTGTTGCTCCAGAATGGGGAGCCCAACCCCTGGAGTTGGAATTCTACAGGGCTTCCCAAGTGATTTCCGGACCCTGGGGCCCTCAGCCGCCCACGGCCAGTGCGCAACGACCTGAACGGCTCACGCCTGGTGGAGAGCTGAAGATCTGAGAGGACAAGCCTCCGAGCGCCCAGGGGGATATCAGTGGAGTGGCCCTGCTAGGTGAGACGGAAGTGGCGAGTTGTGGATGCTATAGATGATCTACCCTCTGGTAAACTAACATAGCTATTGAAAATGGCCATTTATAGTGGAATTTCCCATTAAAAATTGTGATTTTCCATAGCTATGTTAAATTACCAGAGGGTAGATGGGATATAAACATGGTAAACCCAATGCCATAAACCATTTGCAGTAGAGGTTTTACTATTGGATATACCACTATTTGGGATGTAAAATGCCCCCAGATGGTTGGTTCATGGAACTATCCAGCCCTAAATATCTTGAATAGGACAGCTATCAGCTGAAGGGATTAAGTTAATTGGGATACAATGGGGGGATATTATTGGATTTAATGGGAGATGTAACACTAAATAGCTACCATACCCTCTGGCAAACACTTGTTGTTTCCCATGATGGTTACTGGTTGGTGGTTTGGAACATGAATTCTATTTTTCCATATATTGGGAACACATTTTTTCCCATTTGACTTTCATATTTTTCAGTGGGGTAGGTCAACCACCAACCAGGTTATGTATGGTTCAAATTGCTGGATGGATGATGTCCTTTTCCTGGTTGAGCAATGAAGGGCTGACCATCTTTAAATCAAGCGAAGAGCAATTAAATCCCATTCAAATCCCATTAAAATCCCATTGAATCCCACTAAAATCCCATTCAAATCCCACTAAAACCCCATTCAAATCCCATTCAAATCCCATTCAAATCCCATTGAATCCCACTAAAATCCCATTCAAATCCCATTCAAATCCCATTGAATCCCATTCAAATCCCATTGAATCCCATTCAAATCCCATTCAAATCCCATTCAAATCCCATTGAATCCCATTCAAATCCCATTCAAATCCCATTCAATTCCCATTCAATTCCCATTCAAATCCCACTAAAATCCCATTCAAATCCCATTCAAATCCCATTGAATCCCATTCAAATCCCATTGAATCCCATTCAAATCCCATTCAAATCCCATTCAAATCCCATTGAATCCCATTCAAATCCCATTCAAATCCCATTCAATTCCCATTCAATTCCCATTCAAATCCCACTAAAATCCCATTCAAATCCCATTCAAATCCCATTGAATCCCATTCAAATCCCATTGAATCCCATTCAAATCCCATTCAAATCCCATTCAAATCCCATTGAATCCCATTCAAATCCCATTCAAATCCCATTCAATTCCCATTCAATTCCCATTCAAATCCCACTAAAATCCCATTCAAATCCCATTCAAATCCCATTGAATCCCATTCAAATCCAATTGGATCCCATTCAAATCCCACTAAAATCCCATTAAATATCATGCAATCCCCATTCAATCGATGATAGATGGTATCCAATCCAGGCCCCTTCTACTTTGCTATTTCAGGTCATCCGTATTTCTGGTGTCTATTGACATTTGAAAATTGGGTACTGTATGGATTTATACATATATATATATATATAATATGGTACTATACCTTTTGGGAATCAAATCTTGTGTGGGAAATCAGCTAGTTGTACTGAATTTGCAGAGGATTCACTTATTGAACATTGTTATTTTTCATCACCAGAAACTGGAAAAATGCTGGGGGGACGGCATTCAGCAAGTAAACCTGGGGATATGATATGAAGGTTTGCTTAAATGGGGGCTCCCCAAGTCACCATGGTTGTTTCAATACTAAAATGGTCTACTGTAATGACTCGATGATTTGGGGTACCCCCATTTGAGGAAACATCCTTATGAATTTAACAACATTAATGGATGATTCTGAAAAAAGAGATGCAAGGGCCAACAACTCTCTTTGCAACGGTGGTTTTTATCTTGCTCTAAATCAGCACAACTCTGCACAACTCGTGAGCACCACTGCACTGGATAGCCATGGCACTCACCAGTAGGGCTGCCCGGCTGCGACTTTCTAAAAATTTGTTTAAGTCCACCAGCACCAGGTCAACATGACCTGAGGTGTGCTGAAAATTCAAAGCTCGGGGAAGCAAAGGTTCAAGATGGTTCAAGCACATGTTGATATATGTATCTCTCTATATATATATATAATTATATATATATATATATTATGTAATATATGATAGCTTCTGAGACTCCCAGAGATGTAATCTCTTTTTGAAATGGGGTTTGCTTCAAAGATGCCGTTCTGAGGAACTTTGAGGTTGGCATTGATCTTTTCATCCCCATTGACCATAGGACTTGTGGACATTCCAGGAACCCAGGAGGGGAAAAGACGGTGATCATTGTTGCGGCTTTGTCCCTGCAGGTGTGTTGTCAGATGTGCAAAATGTCGATCGATTTAGCTCATCCATGCTCCGCAGTTTTGAGCTACCCTCTGGTGAACTAACATAACTATTGAAAATTGCCATAGAAATAGCTGATTTACCGATTCAAAATGGTGATTTTCAATAGCAAACTGTTAGTTTACCAGAGGCTACTGATCGTGGAATTCATGTGGAGTTTATACCTCCCAATTTGGGATTTCTGGAAGTGCGAAAGAATTCCACACGGACAATAGATCCGTGTGGTCCACAGATGTCCACAGATCTCTTGTTTCGAAGGGCTAAAGAGGCCACAGCATCGCGGCGATGCCTGTTCCAGCTGCACACGTCGTGTGCTGTTCGCTGTTAGCGTCACATGAGGAAAAGTCGGCCGCGCCGTTGGATGCTCGGCCGGAATGTCATATGAATTCTCTCTGTTACTACTATGGACTAGTATGGACTAGTATGGACTCTAGTATATTAAGACTTTCGCACAACATACAGAGTATGATCGGAATAGGTTCTCTGCTTGCCGGTACACATGAGATGAATGCGTATAATGAGATGTAACATGATGTAACGAGATTCAATGACATAGATTCAGATGTAATGAAATGTCATGAAATTTATTGATATGCGATGAAATGTAATGAACGTTAATGATATTTGATGAGAAGTCATGATATGTAAACATATGTAAACATATGTCATGATATGTAAAGATATGTCATGATATGTAACCCAGGTAATATGCACATGATGTCATGAAGACATGATCGTGTCCAGATCCCGAGGAATGCAATTCCTTCGACACTTTTGGAAGTTTCAGAGGACTGAATAAAATGCCCTCGTTGGTCCATGACAGCACCATGGTCGGAGCCAGAGTTCTGCTGTTGAAATGCCATTTGATACCATTTGAGACCCTTGTTTAACTTGCACTTTGGGCGCTTCACGTGCAAAAAAGAAACATGGTGAACATGGTTTCAACCCCAGTGCAGCCCACGCTGTGGCATTATCCTTCCAACTCAAGTGGAGACATACTTGTAGTTGAAGTATTGGAACAAAGCAAATTGTAGCAGAAGACCCTAGGCGCATTAAATCTTCAGAAGCCACTGCGTTCTTGTGCATGGACGTCTTTGTCCCACTGATTGCAGGACATGAACCACTTCCTATCTATTGGTTTCCGCCCAAACCAGCACCATGTTCATAGCCATGACTACAAATAAACTTGCAATAACTTGTAATTGTAATAAACACAGTTCTAGCCATTCTATACAATATACTGTACATGGTCCATCATGGTCCATAGTTTAATAAATTTTAACATGCATTATTCAATGAGAATAATACATAACCATAGTCCCGTTGCCGTCGTGGCCCGTGAAACTTGCCGCAATGGTGCTGGAAGGGTTGATGGGAAGTGCCTGGGCGGTTTCTTGGAGGAAAAATGCGGCAAGTTGATGATGGATTTCCGGATGACAGCGATTTTCCCACCCAAGAATTGGGTGGTTTTATTACAGGTTGGTGGTTTCAAACATGTTTTATTGTCCATAATATATAGAATAATCCTTCCCATTGACTAGTATTTTTCAGAGGGATTGAAACCACCAACCAGATTATGTTTTATTGTCAAACAAGGTGAATTAACCAGCAAAAAGTGGGAGTCAAGGACCAAACATGGGAAGTGAGTCGCCGGTAACGGGGACTAAACCACCAACAATAGGTGTAGAATTCAACCACCAAAGAAACCACAAAAGATTGAGTGTCTACCTTACTTGAACCAATGCTGGGGGAAATTCTCATTAGGGTCCATCTGTGTTGCAGGGGTCATGTTTTTTTTCAGAGAGGCAACACCGTCAGCACAGAACGGCTACCACCGCGGATTTGGTGACACTCCAACAATCTTCAGCCGCAAAGCCACTGAGGCTTACGCCTACAACCAGGGCCGATTTCAATTCGATGCAGGCAGGGCCTGCACCATGACAGCCATGAGACTGGGGAGGGGTTTCCCTAGGGTTCCGAATTCAGCAACAAACCAGGTCAGAAGCAGACCTTTGCGCATCAAATGATCAATATGCGGATCCAACAGTGGAGTCTCTTTCGCGAGGACTGACTAGGGGATCTTGGGACAGACGAGAATCACAAGGTGGACAGTCGGGTTTTTTCACTGGACCACTTCAGTCCACTTTCAGGACATCCGAGATTTGTTCAACCTCACCACTTCCCATATGAGCACCTACATGGTGGTGGGCACACTCTTCCTGGGCTACAGTGTGAGCCACATGTGGTATATCACCACCTTTCCCGAAGATCCTCCATGGCTGAAGTTCTTCTGGATGAATTGCTTCATTTCGGCCATGTGCTACGGCTTCCTGGCACCTCGGATCACCTCAGACCACCTCGGACTCTCCTGGGGCTGTTGGCAATTCTGGAGTCAGAATCTGCTAACTGACATGATATTACAGATTATATCATATTATACTATATATATATATACAATATATTTATTTACACATACATAATTAATATATACATATATAGTTGACTATGCATGATAAATTTATAGTATAATATAATATGATAAAATATAATATAATATAATATAATATGTTGGTAGCATCCAAAGGAACCCGTGCCTTGGGTCACAAGTGCCATTTTCTATGGCTCTGGGAATCAGTTGTTTGCAGACATTGGATCCAGCCCGGTGAACTCTCCACCGAGGAAATCAATCAAAACCGGACCATGGCTTTGTCAGAAAATCAATTCCCCTAAAACAACTATGCGTTCAACATCTCTCATCTCATGGGGATATCATGGCTGTTTGGTGGTTTGGAACAAGCCGTGGGCTCAACACCTACCAGCTGGTGCGGCCGTCCCTGCTGAGCGTTGAGGGTTTCGTTCACGCTGTTGCCATGGTCCTTCATGGAACCCTGTCTGGTTGAGAGTTTGCAGTGCCTCTCTGTTGTGGCTTGGGTAGTGGTCTGTGTTCTTGCTCGTGGTGAAGGGGACCCATGCGCTTTGCCTCTGCCCCAGGTCCTTGGGACAGCAGTGTGGTTGCAACTCCGGGTTTTCATCTTGATCGGGGTCACGCCAGCTCGACACGATCCTTTTATTGGTCAGCAGTTGGAACAGTTTGTTGTCACCTCTGGCTTCAAGAAGGAAGGTGTGATTCAGGAATTGGTTCCTGACTGGCTATGCGAATGTCACAGAGATTGGTGGGTGCTGTCTGACCCTTGTCTGGGCCACAGTGGCAGTACTGGGTGGTTGCATGTGCGGGAAATCTCCACGGTTCGATGCCTCCTTCCATACCTCCAGGCTAGCCTGGTTGGGTGCTGCTTTGGTGCTCTTTCTGATCAGTGGTGTTGTGATAATGGTTTGGACAGCCTCGATGTGGCCTGTAGTTCTGACTCCAGTGATCCTTTCGTTTGTCTGCAGGTGGCACAGCTTGGTGCCCTTTCAGCAGTTGCGTATATGGACCTGGTGCTTGTCTGGCCATGCAGATGTCACAGCACATGGTGGGTACTGTATGATCTATGTCTGGGCCACGATGGCATTACTGCATGGTTGCATGAGAGGGGTCTTCCCATGGTTCCATGCCTCATTCCGTACATCAAGGAATGCCTGGTTGGGTGTTGCCCTGTTGCTCCTTCAGATTTGTGGTGTCATTACGACGGTTTGGACGGTCCCCCGCAGCCTGTAGAACTGACGTAATTTCCATACAATGTGGACAGAACGGTTTGGCTTCCGCGGAGTTTGCGCTCAATGGAAATGGTGGGCTGGGGACCTCCATCCATGATTCTCATGTGGGTGGAGGACAGGCCATGTTTGTGGAGAAGCGCTGGTTGCCCATGGTAGTGTATACTTTTTTGGGGTCTTGTCCCGCACTGATTCATTGTAATGTCCTTGTGGCTGGCAAAGTTTGGCTCTTGACTCTTATTTTGTTTTTCAGTGCGTGTATAGGGTAGCTGTTAACCCTGGTCCTGAGGGAGTTCCAAGTTGGGGATTGGGGCTGCCTGCCCTAAGGGTTTTTGTGGCAAGGTGTTGAGAAATCCTGCATCATGCTGGTGTTCTTGTGCAGTCTCGCTTTTGCAGACCGGCCAACCATTTGGTGTGTTTGTTTGCTTGTTGCCTTGTGATGCCCTGGTGTGCCCAGTGGCTTGGTGCAGTTGACCGATGGCTGCAATTGTTTTCGGTAGGGCCCTTTCGTAGGCAGTCTTGGGAGTCTGATAGACTGCCCATACCAGTGACGAAGGCTTCACGTTCACCGTAGCGTATCCCACAGACAAGTGTGCTGTCTTCTTGACCCAAGGCAGTGCGTTGCGCAAAGCGGTACAAAGTGGTGGTTTGGAACATGAACTTTATGACTTTTCATGATCTTGGGAATGTCATCATCCCAAGTGACTTTCACTCCATCATTTTTCACAGGGGTAGGTAGCCCCCACCAACCAGATTATTATTAACCATCATTAGCCATATAATACCCATATATTAACCATCATTAACAGTACATTAACATTATAATAACCATATAATAACCATTGGGATCCTGATCCCTGGCCGCCTTGTCGAGTCGTCGAGGCAGTTTGGTTGGCGATGCACGGGGCCATCGCGGCCCAATCGGCCAGTGTCCAGCTCCTGACGCGGGCCATTCGCCCTCCATATCCGTCGGCATCGGAGCTGGGAAGCGTCAGGCATGAACTGGCGAACTACGAAGCGTCAGGTCGCGGGAAGTCGCCATGGAAATCTGGATGAAAGTGATATCATGTTATATCCTCTAAGTCGGGTTGACTAAAAAAGAAATAGAGGTTATTCTGTATGTATATATATATATAGTTATATATATATAGTTATATATATATATGTATATACTGGCTTTATAACTGACTGTAGCTGGGGAATTATTATTGGTATGATAACCCATGCAGCAATAGGAATATTTACGAAGCAACCACTCAATTGAGCAGTGACCAGTGGACTGGTTTGATTTGTTTGTGTTTGGGGTTATTCACCTATCCAATATTTATTGGACATGATCATGAATTATCATAAAGCCACTTGGTAGAATCACCAGATGTGAAATGCAGTGGAGATATGGACATGTAGGGAAACTGGATTTACTCTGTTTTCGACCTGCTGGGAAATGAGATTGCAGTTTCATCAAGATCTTGAAAACTGCTCAAGGTGTTGGAACTTCATGAAAGTTCTTGATTGAATCCATCAGGGTTTATGATTAGTGGTTGTTTCTCTTCAATCCGTACCTGGCATGATGATAAGTACGTTTTTTTTTGTTTTCTCAACTACCATTCACGGAGCTGAACATGCAGTTTTCCCTCATTTTTTGGGGGATATGTGTAAAGTCAATGGCGACCCAAACCATGTATGGTCTCCCAGCAGCTTTTCAGGTCCGCTGAAATTCTTCTCTCCTCCCAAATTCGCGGGGCGCAGTGGCAGCAGCACGTCGGCCAATTCCAGCGCACTGGCGGAAAGGGGCCAATCATCCGTGCAGGCCGCGGGGCAGGGCGGAGGTGCTTGGAATTGAGATGAATTGAATGATGTCGGTGTATCTAGGTGGTGAAATCCGTTCAGCATGTGCAAATGAGATTCCAGTTGAAAGTTATTCGTGCTACGATGGATCGGCTCAGAAGGCCAATTCACAGAACCTCGTTTGTTTCGCCATGGCAGCGCAGCCTGTGTGGCTTGAAGTTGCTTTGTTGCCGGGATTTGCTGAGTCGATGGTTTTTTTCCAACATCTGGGGGGAAATTCAACCAATCAAACAGTAAATTTTGAGTATGTGAAATGGGTTAGTTAAAAATGTTAAAACGATGTGAGTAATCCACTAAAAACATGTCAACCTTTTGTTGTTTAAACAATTCAAGCGGCTCCAACATCGCAACTCCCAGGTTGAGTGGGCGGACTGAAACCATCCATGCAGAAGCTGGTACGTATGTCCGCCAATTAAAGTTGGATGCTGGACAGCTGCTACATGTTTCCATTGCCACCCTGAGCCGCAGAGATGGCACCCTTCTGGAGGAGATGTTGACCATAGAGGAGGCCCAGTTGCAACCAGGAGAAGTGCTGCAAGCGACCGCAGCCAACGTGCGAGTCGAAATGGAAGGAGAAGCACTTCGCTTGTTGAAGCTCTTGGACACTGATGAGCCGGCCACCATCAACGACTGTGTATACCAGGTGGCAGATTTGGAAGTTGAGGGTCCGGAAGAATTGGAACATTTGTTTCAGTTGATTCTGACCAAGGCATTGTCAGCACCTCAAACTGCTGCGGCTTGCACGGACATGATGTGTGGCTTGCGGGAACGTTATGCAGAGGTCTTCCAGGAAGAAGGCTGCAGACCTGTGAAATCAACGCGCTTGCTGTTGAACGTGGTGCAGTTCAACTACGAGAAATTGTTCGATGACCCCAAAGGTTCCATTGCACAACAGAAGAGGAAGCTGAGATGGTGATAGGGGGTAGACCGGGTAGGGAAGCCACCACCAGGTCACCATGCCTTCCAATGTTTGACACAGCATGACACAGCTATGTCAGGTGGTCCAGTTTTGGCATATGTCATACCTTTGGAGATTTTCTGAAATTCGTATGGGTCAATACTAAAGACATGTTGGGACACATGGATACAAATGGAGCAACTGCTGGATTTGCCAAGGGTGATGTATTCTTTCCCCCATTAGTGTAATCATGTTAATCCACCATTTGGAGAATCTACTGCCGAATTGCGTGTTTTTTCTGTTTTGGGAACTTTGTGCAGTTAACCCATCCAATTTAATGACTATATTTCACTATGTTTAACTCAAAAGGTGGGTTGTTTGTTGGCTTTTTACATAATGTTACCACATATTTTACTCAATCTTTTTTTGGTCAAAAAGCGCACCATGTTGGAATCCATAGTGTCTTTGTTTTTGACCAAATCGAAAGTTACTTTTCCCAATCTCCCTCCAGCTCAAGTGTACGCGTCTCCCCAAAGAAAACTGGTGTTGCCTCAGATTGACCACAATTATACGGTTGGGGTTCTATATATATATATATGTATATATATATATATGTATACATATGTATAGAATGCCAGTTTTCTATTTTATCTCATACGGTGCCAGAATTAATCAATAATTTGATTTGTTGGAACTGCAAAGGCTGCATCGGAAAATCCATCGGTCCCGATTCACCATTCCCTCGTTGCTGGCTCAGTGCCACGTAGCTGGCTCAATGCCTCGTTGCTGGCTCAGCGCCTCGTAGCTGGCTCAATTTTTTTGAACGAAAAAAGAACGAAAACAAAAAAACGCGAAACAATTGATCCAGCTACATGCCCTTGAGCCAGCTCGGCGTGCCATCATCATCCCGGCCAATACATATTATGTATTCGTTGTTTAGCTTTCACATTCGTTCGCCAGCTCAAAGCGACGTAGCTGGCTCAATTTTTTCGAGTTTTTTTTGTTTTTTAAATTTCGCGGTTCAAAAAATTGAGCGATGCCATCGAGCTAGAGCGATGTGTTTGAGCTAGCGCGGTGTTGCTGAGGTAGCTCGTTCCACTTGAGCGAGCCTGCAAAAAAATCCCAATGTGTTCAATTGTCAGTTTCAGTCAGAAATGGTTCGTTTAATAGAGGTGGTACCCCTGTTGCAGCCCAGACATTTTTAGGAGCCACGTTTTGGGCCAAATCTGCTTAGACAGCGGCACAACATTAAAGTCGAACACATGTCCCCTTCTGAAATTGAGCCAGCTACATGTTTTGAGCTAACTCGAACATGAGGAAGATTGTGGATTGCTACATTCAACCAAACATAACAATCAATAGAAACAATACCTCCAGTTCGTTTGTAGCCCCAGTCTCCCTCTAGATCGATACCAGGAAGCGTTAGTAAAGGATCCAGAACCCATCTCTCCGATGTCTGAGATGGCTATGGATGGCCTATTTTATAAAGCATTTACCTAAACTAACATAGATCCGGAAAATGGATGAACATGGCCTATGACTATATATTATGGATGAATTGGCTTATCAGAAATGCTGACTGTGGAAAATCGATGTACTTTGCCCTGGGGCGTCTTTTGATCCAAGAGACAGCTCAAATTTCGCCAAGCGACCGCTAGCCTGTGATGATCTCTAAGATGCCAAGGTCACCAAGAATTTCGGGAGGGGGCCCGCCAGTGGGCCCACCGGTACATCTTGGTCAATCCCTCAAAGATCCTCAATCCAGCCATTTTCCGGAATTTATAAGGGAAGCTTGACAGGAAGCCGCGCGGTTATATATATATATAGAAATAGTTAAGAATATAATATAAACGTGTTTTTCCAGCAAAACCAATCCATAAACAATCTGATGATTTGATGATGGATTGGAGGTCTCGAGATCTAGTCTGGGTTGAATCCCTATTGAATCTGCATATGAAATACAATCCATTGGATAAAACATGATAAAACCGACTGCATCACCAGATAATATCCCCATATCAAAAGGATATGTGGCGTCTTACCCCATTTTCGCTATGTTCCATATAATTTCCGGAACTCTTAAGCAATCCATCCGCCAGGAAGTGGTTCTTTAGTTGTTGGAGTTATGTATATAGATCCCAACTTAGCTCCCATTGAAAATTCCATTCGGATTGCATGACAATTCCATTGAATTCCACAAAATGCCCTTCAAAATCTCATAAAATGCCGTGAAAAATGCCATGACCCTTAACATCCCGTGAAGATCTCGCATCTTTGGGCCAGCTGGAGGAATTGGTGGTCCGGCTGGATGCAAGTCTTTGGGCATCTGCTGATGCGTCGCCTCATCGCAGTGCGGGTTGTGGGGCAGGTGGTGCATGAGATGATCGGCATCAAGGAGGAGGCACCTGAGAAGCTGCCAGAGGAGGGGCGGGAATGGTGGAGGCCACAGATGATGGAATTATGACTGGTATTGCTACTCTATGTTTATCAATTTATTACTATTGTTATGGTAATATACATATAAATCCGCCCGCACCGAAGGTGCTGGGGCGTGATCTTCCGGATGGCACTCGTAAAAGGTTACAGGTTTACCTGGGGGGGGGGGCATTTTTCGGCCAAAACCTCCTGTTTTTGATAGGTCGTGACGCTCGCCTTCAAAAAACACTGTAAAAAACAGGACGGAAGACACCTGTTCGTGAACGCGCCCGTCCAAAATCGGCAAGCGAAAAGTGAAAAAAACCCGTGTTTTTCAACTTTTTGACCTCAATTTTTTGGTTTGCAACATCTTTTTTTGCGGTTCCGCAGGTGGCCGGGCCCGGAGGCGGATTTTTGAGTTTTTGGACCCGTTTTCGGACTGATTTTCGTCGTTTTGTGATAGCAGAAACACTGGTTTTTACAGTGTTTTTCTGTTTTCTGCATGCTTGACGGCTAGCTTCAAAACTTCCAAAAACCTCGTAAATTACGCTGTTTTATGTTACGGTGTGAATGAAAACATCGTAAATACCAGTGTTTTTTGACGTTGGTTAAAAAAACACTGTAAATTACAGTGTTTTTGGCCACCTGACCCTCAAAAACCATGGTATTTGCAGTGGTTTCTGCTTCTCACCGCGCAAAAACACTGTAAATAACAGCAATTTCGCCGTTTTTTCATGTTTTTCGTTATTTTTCGAATTGCGTTGGTCCGCTATACATGGCTATCAAATTCTTCGCGTTTTTTTTTCCGACAATCAGTCCTTTCGGATGTTTTTGGTCTCAATGGCCGACATCATTGGCAGTTACGAGCGGCTGCCCAACGATGCGGTGCGGGCGGTTGCCGTCGCGAAGCGACGTGAATATATATACACATATATATATATTATATATATACATATATATATGGTCCCAGTCGGCGGCCGCCTACCTCCCCTCCCCCGATGGTATGGTCCCCCAGGCCGAGCCCAGCACCTAGCATTCTGTAATGTAACATCAAGTGTCTGTGCAAGTATGAGAGGGGATCCTATAACGTAGCAGCAAGGGTCTGTGCAAGTACGAGAGATAACGTAGCATCCAACGTCTGTGCAAGCACGAGAGAGGATCGCACAATGTAACATACATCCATCCACACATACATACATACATACATTACATTGCATTACATTGCGTTACATTACACTGCATTAAATTACATTACATTACATGTCATTACATTATATACATTACATTACATGCCATTACATTACATTACATTACATCATTACATACTCACTTACATACTTACATACATACATACATAGAAACATAGAAACATAGAAACAAAGATAGATGATGACGAAGAGACCCCCCGTTTCCACAAGGGGGGGCGGGGAGAACATACAAACATACATACTAGCGCACCAACATACTATCAAGCTTACATACATACATACATACATACATCCAGGCAGGCAGGCAGGCAGGTAGACAGACACGCAGACAGACAGACAAGCAGGCAGGCAGACAGACATGCTTGCAAGTTACACACCTAGGCACTTGCATACTGACATACATAGTCACATAATGTTACATCACGCTACATCATGTTACATACCTACATACTGACATACTGACATACTTACAAACCATAATAATTACATACTTACATATCTACAAACCTACATACCTACCTACTTGGTAACCTACATACCTACACACGTACATACCTAGATACCTAGATACCTAGATACCTAGATACCTAGATACCTACATACCTACATACATACCTACATACCTACATACATACAGACATACCTACCTACCTACATACATAGATACATAGATACATCGATACATAGATACATAGATACAAAGATAGATGATGACCAAGAGACCCCCCCATTCCCACAGGGGGGTCGGGGAGAGCAGTCCATGACCAGGACTGGAACCATGACCATGACGGAGGGGGTGGGGCTGCAGGCCTGTACCATTTATATATATATATATTATTTTTTGATGTTTGTTTTTTATTGTTATAAGTATGTTTTATTTTTAGATGTTCTTTGATTAATATTTATATATATATGGAACTATAGATTATGATATAACACTTTTAAATATATATATATATAGACACGTATAGACTATCTTAGATATATATGCATGCATATACAGACTTTATAAATAGATGTATATCATCTGTAATTATATGCATGTTTTGCATAGGTCTCCAACATGTTTAATGAGTATAAAAGTGGATTCACCGTAGATGAGATGTGAACAATCCGGTACCAGTGAAACAGGTCCAAACCGTTTGGGGATTTCAATCAACGGCGAGGGATGGTGAATGTCTGAGTTTGGGCATGTCCAATGTCGCTGGGATAGCTGGTTGTATTTAGTTTCCAGACTCATCCTTGTTGGAGATAATCCCAGTTGAAATGGGACATCGCGGAGCATTAATGTGAGGAGGGAATGATGCAATGCACATGTGAACTCTTTGAACTTTGTGGTGAGTTTCTGGATCACACACATCATGACCTCATGGAGAACATGTTCGGACGCCTGACTGGCTTGGCACTGGCACAGAAACATTCTCCCGCCGACGCAGACAACAGTCCCGACAGTTGCGCTGTGTATTCTCCAGAGATTCGACGCCGAGTGGAGAGTTTAGTTCACTTGCGCGACGTGGGCTGGAACAACATGTTCTTCGCCGGGCCGCGCTTGAGGGCATTGTTGGGTCTTTAGGGGCCACTGCATGTGGGAGAAAAGTTTGCGCTAGATCTTCGGTGTTGATGCTGTTTGTTGAGGAGAATTGGGGTCAGAATGTCAGCCAAAGGTTTTGTCAGTGTTCAGTAGTAAACTCACAAGTTGGATAGTTAGGTACTCAATTCCACAAGTTGGGAAAGTCTGGCAGTTGAAGCGCAATTCCACGAGTTCTTGGCCCCAGAAAATGTCATCTCTCTTGGATCAGACACGTCCATCGCGTCAGAAAGCATGAAACATGTGGACATTTCACAAAATCCGGGAAGTGCAAAAAATTAAGCTTTCAAACGGTTGAAGCTCTTCCCATCTTCCCCATTTTTGGGCAAACACGGAGATATACTTTACATTACTTTACCACCTTGATTCAATGAATTTAATAAATGTGCATTCCAATGATCTAGTGTTTGCTGATCATTATGAGTCATATGCCTGATATGATTCTTCGTGCGGCTAGTGAGATGTGAGTTATACCCACATACATGTTGATCGACGACATCCCACTTCTGGCGCTTTAATTACAACAACATCACCACGACGTCACTGGACATGATGTTTAAAGGGTGGCCTATCCCAACAGTACTTTTTTTCAGCTTGGTGAATTCTTCTAGTTTATAGCCATATTAATTATATTCCGCAACATATTTACCTAGAGCCTCACCCAGCAAAATTGGGTCAACTGAGGGCCAAGGTACCGTAAGGTACCTATGGAGGTCTCCTAAGTCGTGGGTACAGCAGAACCGCTGGATAAGAACCGATGATGAATTTCCCAGCCTACCCTGGGGTTCTTGAGTGCTACAAGGGAAAACGTATGGGAATTGTGAACGAGGGTACCCTCAAGTTCTCAATGTGTTAGTTCTTAAGGGGTGGTGAGGGTTGTTCAAATTCTAGTAGTGTCTTAATTTAGTAACAGGTCTCCAAAAGACTTGGGGAAGGAACAAAACTTGTAGGCCTCAATTTTTTTCCCGACTTAGGGGCATGAAACAGGCGCAGCGACCCCAGATACCACCATGCCAGAGATTGAAAGTTTTTTGTAGGTGGTAACAGGTCTCCAACGGGGCGGGGGAAGGAAACAACACTTTTAGGGCAGACCGAGGGCGTCCCGAGGCGTCCCAGCACAGCAATCACAAGCTGACCGCGTTGAGACTCGATTCCCCGTCGCGCCGCTCACCCTTAGGAAAGGTAAATAAAAACTCATGGCCACAAAATCTGGCGTGCCCTATGGTTCTTTCCATTAGCCAGTAGATAGGGGGTGAATCCAGTTCTTAATGCAGTGGGTTCCTATAAATGGTGATTTCACTGTACCCCCAACTCATCCAGTCATTCCACCGGTGAGGCGTCTGGAACTGAGGGACCGGTCGAGGACCAACGAGGCGCGACCCTGTGAGGGAAGTGGGTTGGTGAGGACTGTGGGAACTTTTCAGTGGCAAAAATGGAGAAGAATGGTGGGTGAACCATCAAACATGCTGGGTAAATCAGCAAAAACGAAGGGGTTAACTATCAAACATGGTAGGTTAACCATCAAAAATGGTGGTTTTAACCATCAATCATAGAGGTCTCGTGGGGATTGCATCAATGAAAAATGGAATTCTACGGCAAGTTTAATGGGACGCAATTGGGTATGGATCAAAAATTAATGCGGGGGGCCGTAGGTGTTTGTTTTGTGTACCAGTGACCATTTTTAGGGGTGCCTAATGTTGACTCATACATACTCATACCCACATAATGGGGATAGAATGGGACTTATAACAGATAGGCAACCAACAACACTGGACAAAGACGGATTCAGAAACTACGCCGGATTCAGAAACTAGGGATTCAGAAACTGCTCGTCGGATTCAGAAAATAAACGTGGTATTCAGCAACTATTTTGTGGGATTCAGAAACTATTTCGTCGGATTCAGAAACTACTCGTGGTATTCAGAAACTATTTCGTGGTATTCAGAAACTATTTCGTGGTATTCAGAAACTATTCGTAGTATTCAGAAACTATTTCGTGGTATTCAGAAACTATTTCGTGGTATTCAGAAACTACTCGTGGTATTCAGAAACTATTCGTAGTATTCAGAAACTATTGTCGTCGGATTCAGAAACTGCTCGTGGTATTCAGAAACTATTTTCGTAGTATTCAGAAACTATTTCGTCGGATTCAGAAACTACTCGTGGTATTCAGAAACTATTTTTGCAGTATTCAGAAACTATTTTCGTCGGATTCAATGCTGACTCTATGGTTTCTCCCAGCAATGATTATGGTATCCCAGCAACTATTCAAAACCGCCACCCCCCCTCTGGCCAATACGATGCATAGGATCTTAACCTCAACTTTTCTCCAGGAGGGATCAAAACTGCCACCCCCACTGGCCCATACATTGAATAGGATCTTAACTTCAACTTTTCTCCAGGAGGGATCAAAACTGCCACCCCCACTGGCCCATACATTGAATAGGATCTTAACTTCAACTTTTCTCCAGGAGGGATCAAAACTGCCACCCCCTCTGGCCAATACGATGCATAAAATCTTCACTTGAACTTATCTTCATGAGGGATCAAAACTGCCACCCCCTCTGGACCATACATTGAATAGGATCTTAACGAAACTGATTGAATAGGATCTTACCTTGAACCTATCTTCATGAGGGATCAAAACTACCCCCCCTTTGGCCAATACGAGAAATAGAATCTTAACTTTTGTTGCTTATCTTCAGAGGGACAAAACCGCCATCCCCTCTGGCCAATACATTGAATAGGATCTTAACCTCAACTTTTCTCCAGGAGGGATCAAAACTGCCACCCCCTCTGGCCAATACATTGAATAGGATCTTACCTTGAAATTATCTTCATGATGAATCAAAACTGCCACCCCCTCTGGCCAATACGGTGCATAGGATCTTAACTTGAACTTATCTTCATGAGGCATCAAAACTGCCACCCCCCTCTGGCCAATACATTGAATAGGATCTTAACGAAAGTGAATAGGATCTTACCTTGAACCTATCTTCATGATGAATCAAAACTGCCACCCCCTCGGCCAATACGGTGCATCGGATCTTAACTTGAACTTATCTTCATGAGGGATCAAAACTGCCACCCCCTCTGGCCCATACATTGAATAGGATCTTAACTTCAACTTTTCTCCAGGAGGCATCAAAACTGCCACCCCCTCTGGCTAATACTATGAACAGGATCTGAACTTGAACTTAAGTTCCTGAGGGATCAAAACTGCCACCCCCTCTGGCCAATACGATGCATAAAATCTTCACTTGAACTTATCTTCATGAGGGATCAAAACTGCCACCCCCTCTGGCCCATACATTGAATAGGATCTTAACGAAACTGATTGAATAGGATCTTACCTTGAACCTATCTTCATGAGGGATCAAAACCGCCATCCCCTCTGGCCAATACGATGAATAGGGTCTTGACTTGAACTTAACTTCATGAGGGATCAAAACTGCCACCTCCTCTGGCCTATATAATGCGTTAGGGGTAAACCCTGCCCAAAGAGTCATCATCCGATACACTTACGTGGTACCGCCCTAATTGAATCATATACGTTACATGTTACTACGCTGCTGAGATCTCCGGGATCGTTGCTACGTTGCTTGTTACTGCGCTGCTGGGATCTCTGGGCTCGTTGCTACGTTACTTGTTACTACGCTGCTGATGGGGTAGGGTGGGGTAGGGGGGGCATGTCAACGTTCCTTGAACTTCGTACGTTATAGTGTGCTACACTGCTGAGATCTCTGGGATCGTTGCTACGTTACTTGTTACTACGCTGCTGATGGGGTGGGTGGGGTGGGGTAGGGGGGGCATGTCAACGTTCCTTGTACTTCGTACATTATAGTGTGCTACGCTGCAACGATCTGTGGGATCTAAAACTACGTTACATGTTACTACGCTGCTGGGATCTCTGGGACCTTACTACGTTACTTGTTACTACGCTGCTGAGATCTCTGGGATCGTTGCTACGTTACTTGTTACTACGGGTTTCCAGTTTCCAATTATATCAGTTTCCAAATACCAATCTCAGTTTCCGAATACCTTTTTCCAGTTTCCGAATACGACTCCCAGTTTCCGAATACCACTTTCCAGTTTCCGAATACCACTTCCAGTTTCCGAATACCAGTTTCCGAATACCACTCCCCAGTTTCCGAATACCACTGTCCAGTTTCCGAATACCACTGTCCAGTTTCCGAATACCACTGTCCAGTTTCCGAATACCACTGTCCAGTTTCCGAATACCACTGTCCAGTTTCCGAATACCAGTTTCCGAATACCACCTCCAGTTTCCGAATACCACTCGCCAGTTTCCGAATACCACCGTGACCCACAACACTGGTTGGGGTGGTTTCAATTCAAATATGTTTCATTTAATTTGTTTCAACCCCATTTGGGATGATGATCCAAGCGTTTATAGGACTACATAACTACAACATGGTGCTCCAGTTTGGGTTCATGATAAGTTGGTAAACATAGTTCAAATACTTGTTGGGTTTACGGGATATGTATTTATGTATGTCATGTATGTATGCCTTTATATTATATATATATCTTTATATATGTATATCCAAGTAGGTATAGTACTGGGGATATGGAACCAGCAAAATTTGAATATATATATATATATATCTATCTATCCAAGTAGTACAGTACTGGTGGTTCGAAATATTGTTTTCAAGTGTTCAAGCTTATGACTGGGACGATGTTCTCAGTTGACGAATCGTTTGCATGAGGGTTTCACCGCCAAACATTGAGATAGGTTTGTCGGAAAATCGGGTATGCCCCCCGGAAAAACATGAAAAGTTTTGTTAATAAGGAAAAGTATGATCAGCCATCAAGTTCCATGCCCTTTTTTCAGACAACCCTTGCGGATACATCCATGTGCGTTGTGTTTAAGTTATATTCCCCTTGTGCTTGTTCTTGTTTGATACATGCATCTTTGTCGGCATGCGGATGTCTTGACTTTTCAGACACAAAAATGAGGATTCGACCACTCCCCCGAAGTTGACCCTCGCAAAAGAAGGGTGTATTGAGGGTTTATTAACCACTGGTAAACATACAAAAAACTATGGAAAATCACCATGTTTCATGGGAAACTCACTATAAATGGCCATTTTCAATAGCTATGTTAAATTACCAGAGGGTAACCACCACCAGAGTTCAAAGTCCATCAATGTCTATCTCCCAAGCCGTACCTGCTGCACCTTTGGTAAACACATCATGCAGCTGCAGGACTTGCCCACTGGCCATGTAAGTAGCTGGCTGGTGACCCAAGTTATGACCATTTTGTAAATGGGCCTACGGGCAAGATGTTCTTAGTGTTAAACTAAACTATTGAAGAATATGTGTTCTTGTGTGTGTGGAGTGCCAACAAAAATTGACCTACACATATAATATATATATATACAGTACATATACTTGTATTGGCTGGTGAATCGGAACAGGTTTCAATTATCCATCCTGGGAGGATGATCCCCATTGACGAATCAACCTTCTGATAGCTGAACTTAGCTATGGGAAATGGCCAAAAAATAAGTGGATTTGTCATAGCTATATATGTCAAATTACTAGATGGTAATTCCATGTAATTCTCATTACATATCCATTGTTTGGGTTAAATCCCCATAAAGTAAACCATAAAATCCCATGAAACCCCGGCAAATCCCATAGCACCCCATAAACAAAACAAATCAACATGTCATAAAAAAGCCCATGAATTCAGCGGGACCAGGTAATGCCTTCGACGGTCCAAGCTCAAAGCACCCTGCGGGGCTACCATCACCCTGGGAATTCGCACCTGGATTGTCTGCAGAGATGGGGATGTGTCTCAGCTCAAAGCCCGGCGCGAAAATTTAAAATTGGGTAGTTCATATGATTAATATCTCCACTGAGACAATCTCCAGAGATGGGCATGCAGGGACTATCTCCACTATTATTATCGGCTTTAAAAGGGGGTAATGGCTCATGATGGTCAGTAATGGATAGTTGGAATAATATGGATAATACTGCTGAGTGGTATATGAGTTATGGTCAATATCGATTGTAATTAATTATGCCATCTGATCATGGTCAATAATGGATGATAGTTGCTAATAGTGGGGGTTACAACCAACAATACTGGATGAGGAATGGATACTTGGAATAACTCCATCTATGGGGTAGTGCCAGTAAAGCAATGTTTCAATGGGTTAGACCTTCCATACACATGGTATTACTAAAGCAACCTCCAAAAAGAGGCTAATGTGGTGTGCACCCAATGCCATAAACATACCATGACTGGGGATGGTTGAAATCCCACCCATAAAAATGGTGATTTTGAGGATGGTTCACTAATATCTAGTGATTGGAGATAATGAATGGGTAAATGATACACGTGGTTATACTTCCAAGGTCTTCTGATTGGTGTTCCAAAGGGGTTGTGATGATTGCAAATTAATTGATGGCGCGTCTTTGACTTTGGTTTTGATGGGGGTATCATTCCAATTGGGTATCATAACAAACATGGAGTAGTAACCGGGTAAAATGGATCGTTTTCGCTTTCGCAAATGATGTCGCACTTGGAAAATGAGACTATACCAAGTGGTTCACCATGGTCCCAAGCGACAAGGTCTTGGCTCCGTGCCCATCTGAGGGAAGAATTTCCCCCCTCATTTGGGTTAGCCTAGTTCCTTAGCGGGTTGTGCGCGACACCCGCGGGCCATTCTGCCTAGTGCTGAGTGGCCTTTCCGAGCGCTAGCTGCTGGCGACCTGCGATCCTGTGCTCTGCCCAATTGGGCAACACCTTATTGAGGTGCCCCTGGTGATTGTGTATGCCCTGTTGGTCCACGGCTCACTTCTTCCTTGTGGCCCTCTTCGGCGTCCTTCAGCTCTTCAGCTATTACGCCTTCGCAGCGTCGATCCCAGCGACGTGGGAGAGCTTCTGCCCGGCGTCGATTGTTCCTGCACAAGCGTGGTTGGATCAAATTGAGCCATCAGCAGTTGTACAAGATCTACACAGTTTTGGCCAGGCATCACTCTCGCGATCCTTTACACCTTGCCAGCATTCTTGGCAAGATGGAGCTCCAGCCCTGGAAGTGCCAATGTGGTCGCCTCAACAAGAAGGTAGCCCGGACCTGTGCCTCCTGTCATTGGGGTTATGCACCCCACCCTCAGGACTGGCACTGGACTCAGGCCTCCTGGCCCCAATGGGATCCTCAACAACATGTGAGGCCGCCAAGAGACAACAGTGTACGATCAACCCACTCGAATCGAACAGATCGTTCCAGTCGGTCATATCGAACAGATGCTTCGGACCGTGCAGATGGAGACAATTCCTATCGCTATGGCCCCAGATCCAACAAGGACAAGCCCAAGAAGACCAATCGTCGTCACCGCAGAGCTCCCAAAGGATCCAAGCCCGCGGCCAGCGAAGATGCGGATGGATCGAAGCGATTGCAAGAGCCAGTTTGGTCTTCCAACTTGCCCAAACTCCAATCGGTGCCAGATTCGACTCCAGTGGCAGCAGCATCGTCTTCAGCCGAAGAGCAGCTCCGGACATTGACTGGGATGTTGCGCAAGTCCCCAGACCAGCTTACTCCGGAGACCCAGGCCTATCTTACTTCGCTCACTGTGAAGGCCACTCATTCAACGGCCAAGTCGCTTCACAGCTCCGTGACCAAGCTCGAGAAGGCCCAGAACGCGTTGACAGAAGCTCAAGGTGCTCGCCTTCAACTCCACAGCAAATGGAGAAACTTCGTCACCGAGGCAGTGGACAGGTGGACTCAGTCCACCGAAGACTTCAAGAAGGACGATCAGATCCTGGAGGCGCAGATTCAAGCAGCGAAGGAAGCCCTTGCTGCCATCAAGGACCAGTATGCCCAGACTCAGACGCAGCTAGGCATGACTGGGGCCATTTCTATAGAGATCTCCGACGAAGAGGAGACCAAAATGGATGCAGCCTCGATGAAGATTTCCGATGGCTTGCAACAGATGATGGGCTCTCTGAACAACCTCAAGCAGACGGCCGACCAGATGGTGGAAGAACAGCAAAAGGCCACCAAACGGCCCCGCTTGGGCGATGCAGCTTCAGAAGAGCAGTCTTTTATGGAGCCCGACAAGGTGAAGCCTTAGGGTCTGCTTGTCAAGGGCGTCAACTTGGGACATCAGAAGCTGTGCTAGCATATTGGAGCCATTCCATTTGTGACGAGCCCACGTTCAAGTCGCTTTGGGCCGCACGATTTGATGGTTTGCACCTTGCCTTTGAGCTGGGGCTGCCCACACAGGCTCCTTTCATGCCTCTGTTGCAGCGCTGTAGGAAACGCAGTGGTCCCAAAAAGGTTTCCTTCTCAGATACAATTCGTTTGCAATTTTGTGCAGCAGACTCGCTGCTTAGTGCCAGCATGGACATCTCCGATGAGACGTTTCGCTTGTGGACTGCGAAACCCTGGTCTTTGCATGGGCGCTCAATCTCATTTTCTATCACCTCACAACCTTCTCTACATGGCGATTCCTTTTCTCGTGGGCAAGGAGGAGTATATTTCCATGATTTTCCATGCTAGTGATGAAGGTTCTTTTGTGCAGTCGCATGCGATCAAACGTGCGCGCAATGAATATCAACCACCTGAGTGGCCAGATCTCGCTCATCCTGAAGCTCCCAATGATGATGGGCCTGAGGATGGAGTGCATGAGCATTCAGCATCGTCAGACAGTGAGCGTTCTAGCCAGCAATCTTCTTCGCCAGAATACAGAGATGATGAAGTTGCACACTATGCAGGTGCAAGTCGCACAGTTCTGTTGTACTGGAGAGACCATCCGGCCATTCATGCACAGATATATGGCCGCGATGTTGAAGATCAATTGGCCGCCATTGCGGCCCATCTTGGAATTTAACGGCACGATTTGGTACAGGTTTATCGGGTCAATGTGGAGCTGCAACACATACCCGCACACATCACTCCGTTGGTGGTGCATCACCTGAACGACTTTGTGCCTGGTGAAGCTGTTTGCCTTTGCCTCGTGGACGTGGAAATCCATGGCAATCGACATGAGACCAATTACGCCTCTTTTCCTGCTGTCGATCGGAGAGTAGTGATTATGCCCCAGAGATTGACGAGGCGACTGATTTTGGAGTTTTCTCTCACTCTTCCCTATTGTCAGCGTGTCCAGCACAGATGTCTGGTGCAGGTGAATGACAAGCCGGTGAAAATGCAGGACGAGCACTTCTTTTGGGCCTCTCATGGAGACTACATTCTCATCCGTGTTCCTCCTGATGAAGAATGTGATGACACAACTTCTTATTTGATGGAAGAAGCACTCCGAGAAGCAAGGCGCACGATTTTGGACTCTCCTCTTGCCACACCGCAAGATGGTTACTCGCCCAGCCTGGTCCCTTCGGAAGACATACGTCAAGAGTATGGCATAGCCGCTGATGAGACCTCAAGTTTGATGCAGACGGCCTCAACTATGACCCTACCGCTGATGGACATCTCTTCCAAGATCTTGAATGCCAATGATGTTGATCTGCCTATTGATTCCGAGGCATGCATCTCCGCTGGCCGAGATCTACCACCTGATCATCCTGTTCCGGGCTCACCTCCACCTCGACGTCTCAGTTGGACCGAGGAGTTCCTGAGAGCCATGGGTGCCTTGCAGACCGCACAGGCCGACATGCCCGAGTTTCCGGTGGAGCAAAATGTGCCCATGGCAGACCTTCCCTCGTGGGTACAAGAACTTTGGCCTATTTGGCAAGATTTTGCCAGGCCTGGCCCAGGTGCGGTGGAATACCTTGCCAGAGTCGAAACCTGGTACACCGATCACAGTCGTGTTCAACATTGTCTCTCCTCACGCATTGTAGTACTCGGGTCTGATCCGACGTCCTGGGTCACAGACATGGTTGCGGCCTGGCGCGATCTTATTCTACCTGGTCACGATGTTCAGATTGTTGCTGTTCAGCCTATGACTGATGATCAAGCACCCAACATTTGTGCGCAGCTCCTCCTGATTCAGCGCCCTGATCCATTTTCCCGTTCAGTGATCGTTACAATCTCAGATACGGCAGCTCAACGGGGCATACCACAATCATGGGCAATTGTTGCGGCTGATCACGTGCGTCTTCACTCCGTTTTGTTGATGACCAATATGCTTTATCAATGCCCCCCTGAAATCCTCACCAATCGATGCCGTTTGTTTTATGGCACTCGAGAGCTTCGAGGGGAGGCCTACATCCCTGCGGCCCATGGGGATGTCTTTCACCTGGTCATCCAAAGGGATGTCACAGTGGACATTGAAACACTTGTTGGACTCCCCGACCCCAACTCCGGCAGAGATTGGCGCAGCTGCTTGAACAGGGCATTCATTACCTACATGTTCAGCATGGTGAACGACCTGATTTGCCTGCAGTGATTGCCCCGGACTGGTTCAGCCAGCTAGAGCAAGCCTTTGATGTCAATGCAGCTCCAGAACTCCTTGAAGAAGGACCTGTTCTCTACATTCATACATGGTACCTGGATGCAATGACTGCCATCAGCTGTCCTGTCTCCAGACCGGTGCGCTTGCTCCAAGATCGACGTAACTGGAGAAGTTCACTGATTGCGGTTTGGCAGGATCAAATTCAGACGCATCAATCCATTGAGTTTGCCTTTGTGGACCCGATACCACCCAGATTACCATGGATGTCACCAGCCGTGCATGTCTTGTTGACACAACGGGCAGATCCAGTGCATGCTTCGGTTTTGGTCAGTGCTATCACTTACCAAGGTGAGGACCCGGCCTTGATTCAGGTCATGCACTACCTTCCACACAGAGTTTCAGGCGCTGATGTTATTGAAGCTCATTTAGCCCGAGG